GCCTGTTTTTGAATTTCATTTTCATGGAACCACAAATAGTCCATATCCTTGTGATCTACTAACTCTGCTCCCTATCACTTCTAGGAATTCTGTCCCCGTCGCAGCACACTAACAGCTCATCAGCACCTACTATGTGCCAGGTGCTGCAGGGAGAACGTGATGTTTGCTTTTTGCACTGAAGCCTCGGTGTTGAACCCATTTCACAGATAAGGAAATTGGCAGGAACAGCAGTTCATTGCCACACAATCAGGACACGGAGGGGCTCGATTTCAAACCCAGGATAGATCAACTTCAGAGTTGATCCTTCTCTTTTCTCTTTACAGATACAAGGACACTTAATCCCACTGTAAAAAGAAGTAGGAAAACACTGCCCTGGAGAGCTACACCTGGAATTTTCTCTGAGGAATTAAAAATCACTGTATTCAACAAAAAGTCACTGTCAAACACACAGGTGGTTACTTCTAAAATAGAGTGTATGTAAATTAAATGTCATTTTTGTTTGATTCACAGTTATCATTCAGGAAAACAGCCTCTGAGAAACTCCACAAAGACGTGTTTATGTCCCACACCCTGAGCTTAGTACTTTACAAACTTCAACTCATTTACTCCTTCCTCATTTACCATCTGATGGAAAGCTGATTGTTAGCCCTATTTTTAGACAAATAAGATGTTGCTTGAAGAGGTTATCTATAGCGGAATACCAACACCCCTCTAACAAAGCTTAGAAGCTTAAAAACAATCACCATTTCTCTCCATTCATGATTTCAGTGTGTGAGCTGGGCTGTTCTGACTCAGGGTCAGACTTGGCTAAAGTTGGACTCTTCTCACATCTCAGGCACCTGGGCTGGGGGGGCTCAAGCAAATGGGGGCTGGAGCCGTTGGGCTTCCTCAGGCCTCTGTCTTTATGTGGCCTCTTCACATGAGCTTCCCAACATGGCAGCTGGACTTCCTACACAGAAGAAAGAACTGGACTTCCTGCCCAGAAACTCAGGGATCCAAGGCATGTGATCTTGAGAGAGAGAGCGAGAGCACAAGATAGAATCTGTGCCACTTCTTCTAACCCAGCCTTGGAGTCATGTAGTGTCATTTTCTACCATGTCCTGTTTGTTAAAATGGGAACAAAGGCCTGTCCATTTGAAATCCAGGGGGTGAGGATTTCTTCCATTTCTTGATAGGGAATGTGTTGACCAATTTAAGCTCTGTTTAAAACCACCCCTGTTTATCTTCTGGATAAAAATTATTTACACTCCTCTCACAAGCAAAATATACTTCTTCCCTCCCAATGATCTCTGAAAGTCTTATCTAGTATAGTATCAGGTTGAGGCCAGAGATCCAAATCCCATCATCCAAACCTTCCAGGTGTAGAGGAGATTCCTCAGATGCAATGCCTCAGGCACAGCTCCTTGATTCTATTCCTCTTTATCTGAAGACTTTTGAACTAAAAGGACAAGTTATCTGTTTCTTACATAACCTGTTGTAGTCAACCTTGTGTCACTGTGACCAAAAGACCTGACAAGAAAAACACAGGAGGAAAATTTTATTTTGGCTCATGGTTTCAGAGGTTCAGTTCATGGCTGGCCCACTCCATAGCTCTGGGCAAGAGGTGAGACAGAACATGGAAGGGTGTGGCAGAGGAAAGCAGCTCAGGAGTGGCAACCAAGAAGCAGAAAGAGCTCCACTTGCTGGGGACAAAATATAAACATAGAAGACACGCCCCCAATGACCTACTTCCTTCCATCTCACCCTACCTGACTACTGTTACCACCCAGTTAACCCATATCATGGATTAATCCACTGATTAGGTGAAGGCTCTCATAATCTAATCATCTCACCTGTGAAAATTCTCTAACTGTCTCACACATGAGCTTTTGGGGGACACCTCATATCTAAACCACAAACCACCTAACACACAATGATGGCACAGGACTGGGATGACCGTTATGAACACTCCCATTTAAAAAGGAGGCACACCACCGTCCTTGGACCATAGCAATTTTGAAATCCCTCCAAGTACCCATTGCCAGTTTCTGGATTGGGGTCCACTCTTACTCCCTGGGGATGATTCTCCATGGCTCTTGGCTCTGTTTCTCTGGGTTCGACTTTCTGAAAATCATCCTTCCTTTTCTATAAAATACCACTGGTAGTTGCAGCTGAGTAGTTTTTTCCACTTGCTTCTTTTCCACAGAATTGTGGGGGGGTCTGATGGTCTTTTTTCACTTTGTGCTAGTCCATCCTTGTAGTTCAAGTTGATGGTGTTTCTGACAATATAATTCTACTGGGTTTCCTATGGAATATAGATGTCCTATTGGGGCTCACTTCATTAGTCAAAAGTCACCCTCACAGATTTCATCAAAATAAACCCTTCTCTACCCTGAGCTTCTTGTGAGGCTAATATGGAATAATTCCCTAAAGATTCTGTTTAATGAAGAGAATCTGTGAAACATACTTGTGAGATGTTTAGAGGGCCTTGGCCTATATGAAAGGTTTTATGAAGCATTAGGTCTTTCTGAGGTTTTAATGAAGGGTCTTATCTGGATTTTCTCTTTGCCCTGAAGCCTCTTCATACCTTGAGGACAATTTCGCGTTAGTGGAAGCTGCGCATGAGAAACAGATTTATTTGCAAACTCAGCAAGTCCTTGGCTTTTATATTCTCTGTAAATTTTTCTTAAAAGTCAAAAGTTTCCCCTTTAATTCATCTTTCCCTGCCCTTGTCTTGTGCAACTGAAATAATTCAATGGGCACTTCCAAAAGTCTGCTTAGAAATTTCCTTAGCCCAAACAATTCTTTGGGCACATTTCCTATTGTCCATATCTCATCAAGTGACAATGTTGCTAAACTTTCTTGTACTATATAATAAAGGCCCCCTTTTCTCCTGCTTCCAATAACATTTTCTCACTTTCCATTAAGCCCTTCCCAGTAGCTTCCAATAACAGCACCTTCAAAGCCTTTATCATTTCTCCCCACACCACATCCTTAAAGCCATAGATTAGGAAGGTATTGTTATGGTAACAGTCTGCTTCCAGGCATCAAAAGTCTGTATTAGCTATTCATTGCATTATAGCAAAACAACCCAAAACAGTGCTCTTAAAACAATAACAGTCATTTATTTTGCCCATGAATATGGGGGTTGATGAGATCCAAATAAGACAGTTCTCACTCATGATCTCTGGTGAGTTTGCTGTCCATTGGGAACTGCAGCTGGGATCAACTGCAATGTGTCTCCATTCACGTATCTAGGGCCTAGGCAAGGGAATCAGTTAGGGCAGGATGGCAGGGCTTCTTGGGCCATCTCTCACTTCATATATGCTCTCCCTATGACGCAGCTCAGGGTAGCCAGATATTTTTTCATGGCAGCTGAAGGATCCCAGCATGAATGGCCCAAAAGGAACTCTCAGAGCTGCATGGGGCCAGGTGTGGTGGCACACACCTGTAATCCCAGCAACTGTGGAGGCTGAGGTAGGAGGATCACAAGTTTGAGGCCAATGTCAGCAACTTAGCAAGATCCTCAGTAACTTAGGTAGAACCTATCTCAAAATTGCTTTAATTAAAAAAAAAAAGTCAAAGTTTTTAGAGTGCCCCTGGATTCCATCCCCAGTACCAAAAAGAAAAGAAAACAGCGTGGATTTTTCCAAGGTAGCCTTGGAAATTACCCAGCATCATTTTTGCTATGTTTTTCACCCCTTTTGGAGATTTTGGAATTCCTTAATTCTCACTATGGTTCAAAGGGAGGGAACATACACCTTCTTCTTAATGGGAACAAAGTCAAAGGATTGTGTACATGTTTCAAAACACTTAAGGGGTTAAGTAATATACCCAAGGCCACACAGCTGGAAAGTGACAAGAGTTCAGATGAACCCAGGCAATCTGGTCCTGGACTTAAATCCTTCACTGCTAGTCTAGAGTGCTTCTTCTTCTCCTCTCCTCTTACTGACTTTCTTCCTCTCCCTCCCGCCTCCTTCTTGGATGGAACCCAGGGCCACCTCTCTGCTAGGATGCACACTAGCACCATGCTACACCCCGAGCCCTGCACAGCCTCCTGTAATTACCCAGGTGGTCTACATACTTCAAGAGTTTGGGCGGGGGGTGTCCCTTTGCTTGGAACAGTTCCCTACTTGCTTTGACCTACTCAGCTTTCTCAGAAAAGTAGTAGGATTCAGACTGACGGCAAGCGTTTTCCAGGGTATGGAGCGGCTGCCGGCCTTTAAGGGAGTGAGTGAACCGGAGCTGGGCAGCCTCCTCTCAAGTCCTCTCTCCTTGGGATCAAGTTCTTCACTGTGGCCATCAGTGCCTCCGGGGATGGTTTCCGTGTCACTTTCCCTGTGGCCTGCAGACACCTCCTTGTCAACTGGCTCCTGTGATCTTGCACCTTCTCACTAGTTTGGTTCCCACAGGGAATAGAGGAGTATGCTTAGATCTTTCAAGAATGTCTTCCAAAGCCTGGGGGATAACTCAGTGGTGGAGCAGGCAAAACAACAACAACAAAATCCTGCAGACTGAAGGAAGCTTCCTCTAACGCCTGAGGATTATTCATCAGAAGAAGATAAGGTTTAATGGACTTCACCATGCATAGAGTTTTCCCAAATTTCCTTTAAGGCTTGACTTTAAACACATTTTCATCCACAAAGATTTAACAATGCTTTGTATATCGAATGACACCTTGATGCAGAGGAGAAGTCCGCGTAGAAACAAGAGGCGGCAGCCCCGGCCACCATGAATGCTTATGTAGCCCGCATACTGCACCAAAGGGGCAAAAGGAGGGCTGAAACCCAGCCCCACATTCCACTGGCCAAACCTTTCACCCTGGCGAAGGGGCTGTGTTGGCTGAGAGGAAAGAACAGCTTTTTCTAATTTGTTTGCCCAGAAAGGGGGGGGGGGTGTCCTTTTTCTAACTCAATAAAGATACCATCTGTATTAGCCGCAGCACTGGGGAGGCTGGGAGATAATAAAATAATCTACTAACCTCCTCCATAGGACAAGTCATAGAAATCAACCCTGACAAATAATAATAATAAATTTATTAAATTTCAAGAAAAGAGTGAGAAATTGAGCCTCTGGGAAGGCCAGAGCTATGGCAGTTCCAAAGGACCTAAGCATCTGGAGTCAATGAATCTCTCCACTAGGACATTCCCAATGGAGCAACCCCATCCTAAAAGCCCCCAGTCTCTGCCTCCGTTCAAAATGCAAAGATCTTGAGAGGAAGATTCCGATTGGTCCAGCTTGGTTCCAATGCTCCCTCTTAGCCAATGAGCTATGACCAACGCCGGGTCATAGAATACAGAGTCTATTCTCTAATCACTGTTTAGTACCCCCACCAAGGTGTCAGGGTGGCTTCCAGAGAAAAGGTCTTTATTGTGAGCTGTGAAGCCCTCCAAGAGCTGCCTACAGAAGTTCTAGATCGTTGTCTAGGATTTGTCAGGAAGGCCAATAGATAGTGTATGACCTACCCAATAAGTCCTGGCAAGTCAATCTGATCTAACCACTCAGGAGCAAGATCCCTGTGAGTGTTCAGCCATCTCATTTCACCCTCTATGTAGCATTGACATTTGCCAGTCATTCAACGAAAAGTTGAAGTCTTCATATTCTTCTCTTTATTGGAACTGTCACCAAAGTAGAGAGCAGTCATTCAACTCTATAAAATTGTTCAGAGGCCAACCGAGGATCAGAAATGAATTAAGAAAGAGCCAGAATTAGCTGGCTTGGCAAGCCACAGTCTTGCCTTGAAAAATATTTATTTAAATTATGATATATTTAAAATGTGCACAAAGTGATCTAACAGAAATCCACACATTAACCAATATTAACATTTTGCCATTTGGATTCAGATACCTTATCTCTTTTAAAGAAATAAAACACTACAGCTACAGCTAAATCCCTGCCCCATGTTCCTTCTCCCTCCCACTCATACAGATATGAGTGTTGTCCTAACTAGGGTGGTGTCATTTCCAAGACTGAGTTTGGTTCTGACTTTTTGTTTGGTCCTCGGGTGTAGAAGTGCAATTAATTATTCTCAATGACACAGTGTTATCACTGTTCTAAGAAAAGACCCTCTTTTGTCTCATTTATTTATTCCTTTAATTTTCATTTACTACCCTAAGTCTCCCCAATCCCTCAATTAAGCAACTGCATCAATATGTTTGACATCACATCTTTGTATGTGTCCCTGTCAAAAATACGCTGCTATTCTGTGTGCATGCAACTTGAGTTTACATAAATGGTATTGTGCCATGGATTGCATTCTGTTCTTTGCTTTCTTCAATCAGCACTGTTTCTGAGGGCCACCCACATTGTGTTAGTCAGCTTCTTATCACTGTAACAAAACACCTGAGAAAAATAACTTAAAGGAGTAAAGATTTACTTTGGCTCACAGTTCCAGAGGTTTTAATCTATGGTCGGTTGGCAGAACATCATTGCAGAAGTGCATGGGGGAGGAAAGCTGATCAGTTTATGGCAGCCCAGAAGCAAGGGGAGGGTTAGGAGGGGGCAGGGAGGAAAAGTTCAGGGACATGACATACCTTTCAAGAATAAGTGCCCAATGGCCTACTTCTTTGAACAAAGGCCCACCTCACAAAGTTTTCAACACCTCCCAATAACGCCATCAAATTATTAATCCATCAGTGGAGATTCTCCATCGATGAGGTCAGAGTCCTCATGATCCAATCCCATCCCAAAAGCTTCATCTCTGAACATGGCTGCATTGGGGATCAAGCCTTCAATACATGAGGCTTTGGGGGACATTCCAGATCCAAACCATAGCACACATTGTAGGGTGTTCATCCAGTGCAAATACCTCATTTTTCTTCCCCGTTCTTCTTTCAGCCTGCAAGAAGGGGAAGAGAGACGGGCAAACCAAAGAGACAGTTAAGACTGGGCTTGTCCTTGAGCCTCTCTCCCAGGAGGGAGGTGTGCCAATAGCCTTTCCCTGACTTCACATGTGTGCACACACACACACACACACACAACTTCAGCTCAGGCCTCACCAAGATGGGGGTGAAGACAGCAAGCTGGGAGTTCTATCAGAGGAGGACCTGTCCTAGAACTCTGGCACTATTAAATCCAAGCCCTTGGCTCCTCCAGGAAGCCTCCCCTGGCCACCCATCCTAGGCACATCTCTCTCTCCCTTCTGGGGACTACAAATCTCATTTCATCAAGTGCTAGTCTAATTCTAGTATTTCTGCTACTCTCCCAAATCATAGTGAAAATCCCTGAAGGGAAAGACCCTCTCTTGTTCTTCTGGTTACTCTTGCTCAAGCTCTGGCCCAGAGAAAATGAGAACGGAGAACAGGAAGTTGAATTTTGCTTCATTAGGACCCTACTCCCTCTGTTTTAGGGACAGGCCATCTTCCAACAAACAGGTAATATGCCAGAATCTTAGAAACCCAGACGGAAACATCTACTGTGATAGCTCTTGGGGAGCCCATTTTTGTGGAGGATGCAAACATCCAAATGAGACATTGAAATGCAGAGTGGAAGGTATAAAGATCTGGGCAGATTTCTGGGGTTCAGAGGAGGAACATCCAACTCAGTGCAGAAGGAGGTGAGGGAGGGCTCAGCAGAGGTGCTGAGGTGCCGTCTGGGAGTCTCTCTGGGTATGGGGTGAGGGGAGTGTGAACTAACACTGAGACAGTATAAGAAATATTGTGTGCATTCCAGTTCTTGTAGCTTCAAAACAAATTATCATAATACTGGACTAAAACACCATTTATTATGAGGAATCCAAGCAGGGCACACAGGAAGGGCTCGTCTTTGCTCTCTGTGGTTGGGGCCTTGTCTGGAAGCACTGAAATCTGAGATGGGGAGTCATCCGAAGGCTCATTCACCCACAAATCCAATGGTAGAGTGATTGTAAACTGGGGCCTCTCTTCTCTTCCACATGGGCTTCTTTATAGCAGGTGGCTTAGGTTCCTGGGATGAACAACCCCCCAAAAAAGAGAACTAGGTAGAAATGATAGCCTTTATATAAATTAGCATCAAAAATCCTCACTTTCGCCATAGTCTGTAGGGTCAGAGCAGTTATAAGCCCCTGCCCAGATTCATTGAGATCTCTCCTTTCAGTGGGAGAAGTGTTACAGGGCAAGACGAAGAGCACGTGGTGAAGATAAATATGTTGGTGTGAATACATGCCGAATACTTACCATCTCTGGAGAAAACAATCTCACAGTCTGAAGGGACCTCTTGGACTGTATGGATGACGGGGGACAAGGGAGGCAACAATGGATAGTCAGGAGCCCATTATTGCAGGAGTACAATGCACACAATGAGGAAATCCAAATACAAAGGTACGCTGAAGATCTTTAAAACCACGCTCAGGAGAACGCTTATAGACAACAGAGGACTTTGGAAGCCCCAGGAATCCTGTCGCCTCCTTTCCACCACCCTGCATCCCCTCTGCATTTGATTAGAAAATTCTCAAGGCACTATGGGTGGCTGAAGCAGAGGAAGCATTGGGGTTAGTCTGTGTCCTTGGAGTAAGAGCCAAGGAGTAGCCAGCCACCCGTCCCCTAACCCTGTATACACACTTGTAAACTATCTCTCTCTCAAGTCTGAGCCCTGAGCCCAATCTGTCAATCCAGAGGTCCATGGATGCTGCTGCTTGGGTAGAGGCAGGGACTCTCCATAAACACCCTTCCAGGTCGATTTTGAATGGTCCTGGGCAGAGCAAGACCCATACTTGTCACACATACAGGTTCACCAGGTGTAGGCCAAAGGGACAGCATGACATCATGACATTAAGGAGACAGCACTCGTTTAGCAGTCAGGAGTCCTATATTCTCCTCCTGCCTCTGCCCAAGCAGCTATGGGTCTCCAGGAGATCATGTCCCTTAATGGACTCTGCAGGACAAATGTAAGAATTGGATTAGACAGGAGTTTTTTCCCCCAGTTCTTGGAGCTCATGCATTAAAAAGTACCCAGTCATGGGGCTGGGGTTATGGCTCAGCAGTAGAGCTCTCACCTCGCAGGTGCAAGGCCTGGGGTTCGATCCTCAGCGCCACATATAAATAAACAAAATAAAGTTATTGTATTCAACTACAACTACAGAAAATAAATATATTTTTTTTAAAAAAGCAACCAGTCACAAACACTACAGTGAAATACTACCTCATGTAGACTAGAATGGCTAAAATTAAAAAGACCGATAACACCAAGTGCTGACAAGGATGTAGAGCAACTGGAACGCTCATACGTTTCTGTTAAGATGCCAAATTGTACAGCATACAGGAGCTTTAGAAAGGAGGCCAGCAGTATCTATTGAAACTAAACACCTTCTCTATGACCCAGCAATTCCACTCCTAGATATTAGCCCCAAAGACACAAGAACATACCTTAACAAAAAAGACTTGCACTACAGGATCATAGCAGCCCCGAATTAGAAACAATTTAGGCATCCCTCAACAGGTGAACAGATAAACTACTTAATTAAAGAAATCAGCTGTGAATACATATACCATGGGTGGATTTCAAAAACTTTATGTTGAATGATAAAAGTGAGAAACAACACAACACAGTATATATATTGTATGGCTCTGTTTATCATGAAGTCAAAAGCCAGGTGAAATTCAAGGGATAGGATAGAAATAAGAACTATTTCTTATCTTGAGAGGGTGGAGAAGTAGAGGGGAAGAGACTTGAAAGACGACTCATGGAAATTTGTGGAGTGATGGAACTGTTTCTATATCTTCACGGGGATGTAGGTGACACAGGGGTATACAGTTGTCAAAATGCACACTTAAGATCCGTGCATTTCATTTCACTGTGACACTTCCATTTTTAAAAACAACATTCTCTGGATGGTCTGAAATACAGCTCTCCAGGGAACCCCAGCCCTATTGGGTCAGGGAGTCCGCGGCAGTGGGGCCCAGGAATCTGCATTCTGAGCGAGCTCCAGCTTTAGAGACAGCATTAGACTTGAGGCGATGTCCCCGGACACCCACCACCCCCCCCCCCCCCCCCGGCCCCCCCCCCCCCCGGCCCTGCACACGATCCCACTTGGCCCTTGGAGCTGCCCCCTCTCCCCGAGCCCCCAGCCCTCTGCCCAGTCGCCCCTGGTAACCAAGAAAGGACTTGAAAATCCTCAAAGTGCAGCCGCCCGGTGAGGGGCGGTGCACAGTGTCAGCGAGACAAGGGCAAATACAAAATGCGGGGTAATTGCCGGTTTTCTAATTCGCGGCCCTTTGTGCGGCGGCGCGGAGCCGGCGGCCGCGCTCCCAAGCCCCGGCCTTTCAGGCGCGCAGGGGGCCGTGCGGCCGCGCTCCCCGCGCTCCGCGGCGCATAATTAATCGGGCTTCACAGGGCCGGGGACAAAGGCGCCCATTCACCCCGCCGCTCCTCCCCCCGGGATATTGTTATTTCTAAAAACTGCAGCCAGCTGGGCCGCAGGGCAGCGTCAGCTCTGTGGGAGAATGAGCGGCCGCGGCCGGCGCGGAGACTGGGAGCTCTGTCTCCAGCCCTGCGCGGGATTAGAGCGGGCGGGCGGCGGCCGGGGCGGGCGGCCCCGGGCCTTTCTGAAGTCTGTCCACTCCTCCGAGCGCAGCGCCTCGTGATTTCCATGGGGCCCCGAGGAGCGCACCATGGAAATGGTAATGCGCCCATGGAGGCAGGCTCCGCGGGAAGGAGAGGGTTGCGTCCTGGGATCCAAGTGGAAGGCACTGGGGGATGGCGGCCTGGCCTGGCCAGAGACCCGCACCTGGACCACGCCTTCCCAGACGCAGGGAAAATGCATCAAGGAGTAAACGCCTGGGTCTCGGTCTGCAGAGCCTGCATGCAGTTAAAATCGGGGGTTCTGGATGCCGTGACTCTATGGTTACACAGCTTCTGCTCCAAAGACCGCCTGGAAGCTTGCTCCAAACAGCACCTGAACGGGCCTGGCCTCACCCCCCACCCCAGAGATCAGACTCCCAAAGTAGAGGCAGGGGTCCACGCATCTGTAAGCCTTGGAAGCCCCCCAGGTTTGATTATCACTCAGCACAGACTCGGGAGATGGCTTACATGCACTGCTTCCCAGTTCCCCTATGAGGAGACAGGCCCAAGGTGGTGAACTGACTTGCCAAGGTCGCAGAACAGGGCTGGCCGTGGACCCTGGGCTGCTGATTGTGCACAAAAGTGCAACAGAAATGGGAGATGGTTCTAGGAAAGGATGCTTAGACCTCCCTTCCTCCCCACAAGCCTTTCCTGACTGCTCAGGCCTACTCTGAGCTCCCCTTCCCTGGCCTCTCTTTGCATTGAGACTGATCTGCCTGGTCAGATGCCTTCAGCATGTTCTGGCTTATGGGTGTACACTGGGAGTTCTACCTGCTTCATCAGAGGCAGACACCCTTGAGTCCAGGTCCAAAGGCCCCACTGACTTTGTGCCTAGCAGAGCTCCAGCCAAGGCTGCCCCATGAAAACAGCATCTGATGACTCCAGGGGCTGAGTCCTCTAGGCTACATCTCTTCAAGTGCAATGTCTTCCTCAGGCCCAGCAGAGGCCTAAGTCCCAGTTGAGCATGGCTGGGCTTCACCTCTGCCACTGAATTCAAGGTATTAGGCACCCATCCATTCCTTTCCCAAAGCTGGGAGCAGTTGTGAAGAGCTGCCATGGATTTCCAAAACCTCAGCATCCTGAACACCTCCCAGAACAATCAGGGGCTTTTCCAAAACTCTGCCTATTCCCAGCCCATCTCACTGAGACGTTCTGTCCCTCAAGTGTACCCTGGAAAATGTTCCCTCAGCCTAAGACTGCCAGTCCCGAGCAGGACCACGGGTCTCCGCGCCAGACCATGCCGCAGAGCCTCACTCCGCCCAGCAAGGCAGGGACAGGAAGCCTCCTGTGTTTTCAGAAGAGCGCAGGCTGGCCTCCAGTTCCAGAGAAGGTGCCCAACAAGCTCTCTTCTGCTTCAACCAAGCCATGCAGGGCTCTGGAAAGCCGACATCATGGGACATTCACATCTGTGGGTGGGAAAAAGCACAGAGAGCTCCAGGAGAACAAAGTGGAGGAAAACAAAGTGAAACAGGGTTCAGCCAAGGCCTGCCTGGCCAGGCCTCTAAGTGGACAGTCCAGCTGTCCAGTAACAAGCAGACTCAGCACAGCCCCTGAGGCCAGTGGAGTCCCCCCCCCCCCAGGAAACTCAATGGCCAGGGCCAGGGCCCCAGCATGGCATCAAGCAGAAAAATAATCTATATGTCTCCTCTAAGTATACTTTATTTGAGATCTAGAATAATCCAATACTGTCTGGAAATGAGAGGAATAAGGTTTAGCTGAAAGGAAGTCAGACCATATTAAAAGAATGCCCTTGAAAATGTACAGGGAATTGTTTTAAGGATTAAAGGGCAAGGTGTCTCTTTTTCTCAAATTGTTTTATAAGTGTAAATAATTTGGAAAGAATATTCAGGAATCTCTTGTAATATTCCCATGACTTTTCTAAAGTTTGACATTTAAAAATCAAATAGCAAGGGCTGGGATTGTGGCTCAGCTGTAGAGCGCTCCCCTAGCACGGGCGGCACCAGGGTTCGATCCTCAGCCCCACATAAAAATAAAGGCATTGTGTTGTGTCCATCTACACCAAGAAATAAATATTTAAAAAGATCAAATAGCAGGCAATGCACACATGTGCACACACATGAGTGCACGCACACACACACATAGACACACACACACACACACACACATACATTATAGCATCAGTATTCCAATTCCTATATGCAGGGTGGGACCAAATCTCCTTTACCCTCACCCACACCCACACATCTTTTGCTGTCTTCTGGGATAGCACTTAGTGACCAAACTGGCTTAATTGTCCCTCAGGTCCCTGTGTTGTTAATCTCTGATTCCCATTTCAGCTAGCACTGTGCTGCTTTGTAAATGGGCAACAGTCCCCAAACCTGGAATCCGATCATTTGTCACGGAAAGTTTCCAGCTCTGAGGAGGGGGCAAGATGGAGTAGAGAAGGGGTGGTCACTGGGAAGAAGGAACCAAGGAAGATAGCAGAGTGCACATGAATTTTATAGTCCAAGGCACTCCTGTCAGAACTGGTGTGTTTTTTATTCAAGGCTAGTTAGTAATCAGGCCCACTTAATCACATTGTAGCATTTTTCCATAAAGCTTGGGAAGTCATTCAGGCTGCCCCCTGGGTCCACCCAGAGCACTTATGGGCACACTTCAACATGTGGTTACCAGAGTCAACCATATACCTGCTAATCATTGCCTCATTCTCTGAGTGTTTCCTGCATGTGAATCTTGCTTATCTCCCCAGCGAGCTTACAGAGGGAAGAACCTTGCTTCCTCCCACCTTCCTCTGGCCATCATGAGAGTTTAGAGAGAGATAGACTCATGATGAACTCTCAGGGGCCTCTGCCAGACTCTAAGCTCCATAAAGGCAGGAACTATGTCTTCTACCTCTGGTGCTTAGCACAGTGCTTGTTATGTAGTTGGTGCTCAATACATACTCAGTGAATAACAGCGGGTGGGAACCCCGGTGAATTGGGTTGAGTTGAGCAGCCTTCTCCAGCAGGGCACGCTGAGCAGCCTCTTTGGGAATTGTACTTCTGACCTCAGATGCTCAGCCGAGGAGTTAGAACTATCACTGACTCTCCCACCTGCTCATCTCTAACTCCCATCCTCAGAGCGGGTCCTGTGTCCCAGAGAAAGGCAGAAGCACCATCTCTGTGGCCAGTGTAACAAAATCAGTGTTGGGACAAGGTTCTCTTCTCATGGTCCTCTGGGTGGGTCTGCCTTGGGAAGAACAACTTTGCTCATGCACATTTCTGGCAGGGGCAGGACTTTCTTTAAGAGCACTCTGGGCCCAGGCACATGCCTATAATCCCAGCCACTTGGGAACCCAGAACACAGGAGGATCTCAAGTTCAAGGTCAGCCTCAGGAACTTACAAGACTCTGTCTCAAAATAAAAAATAAAAAAGGATGAGTATGTGGCTCAGTGGTAGAGCAGCCCTGGGCTAAAAACAAAAGCAAAACAAAACAAAAAACACTCTGTATTGAAGTTATGATACCCCACCCCACCCTTCCCTGTATCCCCACTCACGGACATGGACCTGAGCAGCTCTCCACAGGTACCTGGGTTTGAAAGAGAAAGCACTAGATCTGCTGGAGGCAAGGAGCTTTGACTGAATGGTCTACAGGAACTTCATTTTCCTCCCCTGCTTGGGGCAAAGATACTGTTACAGCCAGAGGGCGGCTGCTCCCAGTGGCTAGCTGCAATAGGAGCCTGAGGCCTAGGGATCTCCCAGGCTCTCTAGCCCCTTTCTGGCCTCTGAGCCAAAGCTAGTCTATCTAGTCTTCCTGCTGCTACCATGGTAGCCTGAGTCCCAGGTCAGCCCAGGGGAGAACTGGAGGAGATGTTCTTGGCACAGGGAATGGGACATTCCAGGCCACCCAGATGCTTATGTCCCTCCAGAGTTCATATGTTGAAATCCTCACTGCCAAGGTAATGGTGTTAGGAGGTGGGACCTGTGGCAGGTGCTGGGGTCTTTGAGGTAGAGTCCTCATGAATGGGGGGTCCTCATAAGTGAGGCCTGAGACAGACCCTTACCCCTTCCACCATGTGAGGTTAGAGGGAAAAGGCACTATTGTGAGGAAGTGGGCCCTCACCACACTCTGCCTCTGCTGGCACCCTGATCTTGGACTTCAGCCTCCAGAACTGTGGGCAATGAGCATCTGTGGTTTATAAGCCACCCAATCTAGGTATTTTGTTATGGTGACTTGAATGGACTAAGACAGCATCTTGGGAGAGATGAGAGTTTCTCTTTTAACCCCGTTCCTGTGCAGCTGGACCATCTGAAGCTTCTCCCTCCCAGCACCTCACCCATCTCTCTGCCCCCTTTAGAGGAAACCACTGCCTGGGCCTCTGGGGCAGCTGGGCACGCTCCCAGCACATTGAGCATTGCTCCCAGCCTAAGAAAAAGCCAGGCTCCCTGGCTGGAAACTCTGTCTCCTCCCCCTTCCCCCCTTTCTTCTCTTTCTCTCTCCCCCTCAATCTCCCTCACTCCCCATCACCCCGACCCCAAAGCTTCCAAAGTGACAACATGTGGGCCCAAATCAAACCCTTGTCCTCAGGCCCCTGTTGGCATCCGTCCTGGGTCTCCTGCCTTCCTCTCCCAGCTCCCCCACCCAGCCTCACTCCCACCCCCGCCATTCCTCTTTGTGGACAACTTTCTAAATACAGCCAAACTTCCCCTTTTGGTCCACAGGGCCTATAGGACAGCTGCAGAAGGTCAGCAACTCTGCAAAAGTTTTCTTGCAGAGCTTGGCTGAGACCCACACCCTCTAGATGTCACTTCCTCACCCAGGCTCTGGAAGACCAGCCAGTGTCCTCCTCCAGTAAACAGAGGAGAGGCATGGCCTCCCCACAGATCAATCAAATCTAAAGAGAACCCCCCCCCCCGAGGGGCCCAGGAGAGTGCAGTCAGGAAGGAGGCAGCCCAAAGGCTGGCCTGGCTTCTGTCTGACCCTGCTCGAGCACCCAGGGACTCTGGCATCCATTAATGCCCTCCAGACATAGCCATTCTCTTTTGTGGAATGAGGGGCTATCTTGGGGGGCCTGGGAGGCAGGGGCAGAGTAGAGGGGGCTTTGTTGCCTAAAGGCCATTCACATGATGAGGGTTGTCTTCCTTGGCCCTGTCCAAGTCTAAAATTCCACAACTTGGTAATTTTTCTTTAGGATGCTCCTATCCCATGTCTGGAGAGAGAAGAGACTTGCCCAGGGCCACCCAGACTTGAGCCTGGGTCTCTTGAACTGTCCGTGCTCTTTAAAACAGTCACTCTCAATCTTGGCGACAGAGTGTAATTACCTGGGACGATTTTCAAGCATCCCAGTAGTGGGGCCCACACCAAACCAATGAAATCAGAATCTGGGCCTGGAGAATCAGGTTGCCTGGAAAGTTACCCGGTGATTCTGACTGTGGTAAGGGGTGAGAGCCACGGCGGATAGACTTCAGGAGGCTAAAGAAGATACTCGAAGTCAGGGGTGACATATTTCCACCCTCATTCTCTGCTGAACAGGAGCTCGAGGCTGGTGGGAAGAGACCTGGGATGAGCTTGGCATGTCTGTCAGGGATGCAGGGGACGTGACTGGACCATGTATTTGCTCTCTAGTTAAGAGGCTCGGAGGCCCTGTGGAGTGGGTACCTCAGGGCCAGCCTCTGGGTGCTGGCTCATTGAGCTGCCTGATTCCTACCTGGACCCCAAGGCCTCCCGTGGTCCTCCAGGACAGGCAGCCCAGGGCTGCATCTGGGAACTGGCAACTGACCTAAGCCAGAGGCAGGAGGCCCCCGGTCAGCTCCAGCACTGTGAGGGCTTTGTGCAGACCGAGAAAAGGAAAATAGGGAAGGAAAACCAAAGCAGGGCGGGATGCAGTGAAGGGGAAAAGGACAAGAGAAAGGGGAAGGACCTTGAGGTCAGAGAGTCATGTGAATGGCATTCAAGCAACAAAGCCCCCTCGCCTCTGCCCCCCTGGCTCCCCTCCATCAATCATCCCCTGAGCCTGGAGAGAAGCACTCTGCTGCCAGGGCCAGGGCACAGGGGACATCGCTGCCCACAGAGGCCCAGGCCAGAAAGTCCAGATTCAGAAGTTTGCCAGCTTTGAGCCTTTGAGCCCCGTGTGTCCTCTCCACAGAGTAAGTGCTGAGCACCGGCCAGGTCCCCTCACACCCCCACCTCCTCTGCTCATCAGATCTTCCGTCTCCTTTCAGACATTGAAGCAAGATCACTTGGTCATTCCTAACCCAAAGGAAATGTTAAATCTAATTCCAAGACACGGAGCATCACATCAAGGGGATCCAGGTGATGCTGTTGACAGTCTTTGTGACCCTGAGTGAGCCACCTCCCTCCCCTCCCTGAGCTTCAGGGTCTGGTCTTATGTCCCTCCTGTGAAGTCACACTTGAAGGAAAAGAGGCCACACTTGAGGTGTGTCCCTGGGCCAGGGGTCACGATCCCCAACCCTGGATAGCACGTTGAGCAGTGAGGTGAGCGTCGGCAGCTCTGGCTCTGCACCTGTTCCCTCACCTATAAGGTGAGAGCAGACCAATGAAGGAAATGGAGAAGACAACACAAACCCAAACCAGCGTGGTGCTCATGTCTACACTACAGGAGGGCTGCCCTTTGCAAATCAAAAGAAGATACAACTGCTTTAGAAAATGCTCAAGCAGCCAGGCGCGGAAGCACATGCCTGTAATCCCAGTGGCTCGGGAGGCTGAGGCAGGAGGATTGTAGTTCAAGGCCTCAGCAACTTAGTGAGGCCCTAAACAACTCGCTCGGTGAGACCCTGTCTCTAAAGAAAACATAAAAAGGGTGCTCAGTGGTTAAGCGCCCCTGGGTTCAATCCCTGGTACAAAAAAGAAAGAGCAAAGGATGTGAACGGGCAGTTAAGAGAGCTGCGAGAATATTTGCAAAAAAGGAAGACACACAGCTACTGAGTTCAAAGCCAGCCTCAGCAATTTAGTGAGGCCCTAAGCAGCTCAGCAAGATCCTGTCTCTAAATAAAATATAAAAAGGGGCTGGAGATGTGGTTGAATGCCCCTAAATTCAATCCCTGGTACAAAAAAAAAAAAAAAAAAAAAAAACAGCAGTAACAATGGTTTTGAAATGGTGCACAGTAGAATGTTCAGCTCACCTTACGGCTTTTGGGCTGTGTGCCTTGAGAGGCCTGAACTCCCAGCCCTCTTCTGCTTGCTCTAGCAGCAGGTCAAGGGCCTCAGGACAGAGCAGTCACGGTGGGCAGCCTAGCACGCAACCCAGAAAAAAAAAAAAAAAAAAAAGATGGGCGGGAGTGACAGAGGAGGGAGCCAAGAGGAAGAGGAAGGGACACTGCAAGTTTCAGTGTTTCACAATGTTACAAAAATACCCCCAAAGCCTGGGTACCACAGGAGAAGTTAAATTGAGCAATGGTTATGGTTCTCTTTTCAAATTCATGGAAAATTCTCTTTTCACATCCCTGGGTCAGTGAAGCCAGACCCTTCACAGTGGCCAAGAAAGGGACACTTGTCCAGAGCCACCAGGGCTTGTGCCATCTCTCCCCCTCACTGCCCCTCCTCCCACCATGATCAAAGCGCCATCCCCTGTTTTCCAGGATGTACATTAGTTTATGTACTTACACCCACTCTGGCCCCACCAGGGCCTTGAAGCATTTGACAAGATACAGACAAACGTCATTATTATAATCCTACCACCGCCTGGAGAGAGCCGGCATCGGAAAGAAGTTGTCTCTCTTAAGTGACAGGCCAGGAGATCCTCTAAGAGTCTTCAAATAGAGCTCCAGATTTGGCTCTGAGCCTCCTGGCAACCCAGGTAAAGTGGGAATTGGGACAAGTCTCTTGAGTCACATCCTCCAGAAGGGGTCAGAAGCCCACTCGCTCCTCTGCAGAGTGCTACAGGAATCAGGAGCCTAACATGCATCCCACTCCTAGATCTTATAGGAGACCCTAGAGGAGGGGGTAACCACAGGACAGCAGCCTTCCCAAAATAAATGCAACTGGGGGACTCCTCTGGCGGATTTCCATAAAAATCCATCCTAAGGGAGCGTCCTAATAAAGATTCTGTGGTGACTAAATAACATGGTCCAAGAATGACTCTGTTTCGTGAGAGTCAGACTCTGTTCAGGGATAAATCTCATCTGGAAGAATGGATGGAATGCATGGCCTTTAAATAACCCCCATGAACTTTATTTCTCTCAACTGAGTCTTTGATAAAACTCGGGCTGCAGAAGGCAGTTGTAACCGCTGACAAGGGTCTGGCAGGCAGCACCCTGGCACCGGGCGAGGGTGGAGCCCTGGGTCCCTGGCACCTGCAGAGGAACCATTCATGGATTCAGACTTCTCCCAAGGCCCGCAACAGGCCAGGCTTTTGGGTTTTGCTCTGCCCTGAAGCAGACTGAGCTGGGAGGCCAGCAGAAGTAGGGGCACCTCTGGGAATGGGGGGGGGCTGTGGGCCTGCACCCAGCTTTGAGACCCTGCCTGACTTTGGGTGTCAGGAAGGGTGATAACCGCTCTCATTTATGGCTGAGTCCAGGCACTCTCTCACAATCAAGCTATTCAGTGGATATTATGAGGCGCTCATTTTACAGAGGAGTAAACTCTGAGGACATGGCCAGGTGTCACGCAGCCAAGGAGGGCAGAAGCTACAAGACCTGCTCAAATCTGCCCCATTCCAAAGTTCACACGCTTTTAACCGCTGCCCCGTGAGACACCCCCAACACACACATAGAAAGAGAGATAAACCTGTGGGAAAAGCGAAAAGGCAGTTGATTTGTGGCATGAGACAGCAGGAAACTCAGAACTCTCAAGAAAGTGTAATGAGGAGAGAGCCGGAAGCTGCCGCTGGGTTGAACTGGATGCTGCGGGGCTGAGGGAGGTCTGCGCAGGAGGCCCCCCAAAGTGAGCCAGCTGAGTGGTAAGATCTGTGGCACCCAAGTTGCTATAAAAGTCAGGGGGCATCGGCTGCTACAGGGAAAGACCCAGCTTAAACACAGACTGCAGGACAGTGGATAAAGGATACCCCAAAACCAAGCTCAAAATGCTCCCCAAAGCCATTAGGGGTCCTTCCTGCAAGTCCATGAGTGAGCCATGCACAACCCAGCATTCCCTCTCTGAGCACAAGGCCAGGCTGGCTAGGGCCAGGGATATGAGCCAGACACTCCTGTATGTGCATCCTGTCCCTTCCCTGGGAAGCCAGTAGACAGACACAACAGAGACAAAGCAGACCTGGAGGCCAGGTGCAGTAGTGCACACCTATAACCCCAGTGACTTGGGAAGTTGAAGCAGGAGGATGAAAAATTGGAGGCCAGACTCAGAAACTTTGTGAAACCTGGTCTCAAAATAAAAATTAAAAAGGACTGAGAGTATAGTTCAGCAGTAGAGTTCCCCTAGGTACCATCCCCAATTCCTCTCTCTCTCTCTCTCTCACACACACACACACACACACACACACACACAGAAAAAAGAAAGCAGAACCTGGGAAATCGAGCTCCTGAGCACTTCACAGCAGGACCCAGTGCCCCTGTGACTATGTCTATTTTGGAAATGCAAATCTGATCAGGCCAACTCCAAGGTTAAGATGACCCAGTGACTTTCCACTGCTCAATGACAAGGTCTGGATTGAGGCCCTCAGTCTGCCCAACCTGGAGATCCAGCATCTGCCTGCACCCCACCCGCCCTGCCCTCCTCTCTCTCTGTCGCAGTCATGGTAGCTTTCTTCCAAGGCCTGAGCCCTGCCACTCCCTCCCTGGGGGGAGCATCCTTTGCACAAGCTCTTCCTTGTGCACAGGACAAGCTGTCTTCCCCTCTTCACTCCTCAGCCTGCTGACCTCAGGTCTGTCGTTTCAGGGACTTTCCCCCGGCCTCCTTGATGTCCCCTACGGCACACCTCGGTCTTGCTGTTTGTTTGCGTGGGTGATGAGTGCACCTCTCCTTACAACCTTAAGCTTCTGGAAGACTGAGCTGTGCCCATTTTGCTCACATTGGAACCTGGTGTCTGACACTGTCTGACACATCGTAGAACAGAGATATGGGCAGAGGGGATGAGCCAGTGAAGGCTAGAATTGAAATCCTGACTCTGCATATAGCTCCTCATTTACCAGTCCTGGTGGGGAATTGGTTACAGACCATCCCTGACTTGTGAGGGTTTGACCTAGGAATTTTCAACATTACAATGGTACAAAAGCAATATGCAATCTGTAGAAATTATATTTCAAATTTTGAATTTTGATCTAATCCTGGACTATTAATATATGATATGATTTTCTTTATTGATTCTGGGTAAAGGCAGTGAGCCACAGGTCCCAGTCAGCCTAGATAGATAGATAGGGATTTGTCATAAAGCTTTGGACTCAAACTTAATTTTGAGGACTGGCAAGTTCCAGATCTGCAGAGTTGATGTCCCAGCTTTAGTCCAAAGGCTAGCAGGCTGCTGCAAAACCAGGAAGAACTGATGTCCAGTTCAAAGGGTCTCTGTCAGGCAGGAGACTGCTCTCTTACTGAGGGTCTATCTTTTGTTCTATTTAGTCTTTTAACTGACTGCATGAGGGGTCCCGCACATTATGCAGGGCAATCTGCTATACTAAGTCCACAGATTTAAATGTTCATTACATCCAAAATGCCCTCACAGAAACATCCAAAATGCTTGATCAAATAACTGGGCACCCAATAACCCAATCAAGTTGACACATAGAATTAACTACCATAGGAATTGTACCAGAAAATAGATGTGACCAAGGGTTATGGCCAATGTAAGACATTATCATCTGAACACAGAGTGCTAATTTTCCCCCCAAACTTAGGGTTTCTATGTGTTTCTCTTACAACTCCAGAGACAATTTTCCTTCACAGGTTCTCATCACAGAACAATCCTCTGAGATTAAATCT